TCGTTGTCTTAGGCCGGCCTACCGCCCAATTCGAGCGCGTGGCAAGATGTGACCGCCCGGCGATCGATATTGCTATGCGCACATCTCGCCACGTGCTCGAATTGGGCGGTAGGCCGGCCTAAGACAACGATTTTTCATAATTAATTACTCGTTAACTATTACGAAAATTGCAAAATGGTACAGGACTTTTCCGTTCATCTCGATCCGTTCTACCTTCTCAAAAATTTTGTCGGATATGGAAAGACTCACTCTGTATAATGTACTACGTTGTACGGTAGCCATGTATATTATCGTCCCCCTTATTTACGCATAACAGCGTCAACCATGGTCAGTGAAATGGACATTTCTTATGATCGCTTTTTGCGGCTTTGTGGAACTCTACATGTACGCCTGGCCAGCTGACAATATAATTAGCACGGTTAGTTATTTATGTAAAGTAGAATCCACAATTACACACATTAGAGACGACAAAATTCTAACTTTTTCTAATGCGTTTATCAAAATTTTTCATTAGAGTACCGACATAGCGTCTGCCGTATACGAATCGTTATGGTATAACGACGATGTGACCATGCAAAAGGTTTTAGTACAAATCATATTAAGAAGTCAGAATCCGGTTATCGTTTCAGTTCCAGGTGCATTACCACACTTATCTATGAACTATTATGCATCGGTAAGACTTTATATCGTTTTGTGTTTTTAGTATTGTCTTTTTGGTTTCTTCGATTCTTCTGAATTCGTTTGCTGTTGGACTTAATTATTATTTTGCATTAAAAAATGTATTACTTTTTAGTATATCTCGACAGTTTTCTCATATATGGCATTTGTACGTATCATGATGGGCGATGAAGAGTAGAAAAAGGATCAAATTTAAGGTAAAAATCTTGAAACTATATTTTTTTGAAAATCTGCTGTGTAGAACTGCAATGTAATAAAAACGTATATTTATTAATAAGAATATATATATTTATCAATAAGAATACCTCAAAGATATCCGTATCTATCTCTATAGAAATATCTTATTATATACCCATCTACACATAAGAATTGTATGTTTGTGATAATCTGAAAATAAATTATTAATTATGGTTGATTTTACTTGCAACAATTACTATCGTTATTTTCAACATTAATTAATGCCAATTATATTTTCTTACAAACGATTTGTACGTCTCAAGCAAATTAGAGCGCATTGAATTCAAATGTAAATATATATTTTATTGTACTTCTAAGTTATCCTGTTAATAAAATAATATGTAATTTGGCATGAGAAAAAGTATATGTTTAATACATTAGCTTTCCCTCTTTTATACAGTGTTTCTTTCTGTACAGAAAGGTAATCTTTACGATATAACAATTCTTACAATATAATCGTAATATAGATATAACTCTACATCTAAATAATTGTCTTGTTCTTCAGATTCTTTTAATTATTTGAATTCCACGTATATATATTTTTTAATTTCTGTCTACAAAACGAAAACGTAATGGTCTATTTGGTACGTTTACCATGAGAAATCGACTTTGGATCTCAGCATAATCATACTCAATCGCGAATTCTCGTACCAGCTGCAAAAAAAAATACATATATTTTCAAATTTATTTTTCATTATAATTACGCGTTATTCCACATAAAGCTCAGTTACTTTTGCAGTGAGTAACATCATTTCTGTTTCAGCCATATTTCTTCCCAGACAGGATCGTACGCCATAGCCAAAAGGTAGACAGGAATATTCTTGATAATCATTATGTATATATTCATCTTGATTCAACCATCTTTCTGGTTGATACTTCTCAGGATCTTCAAAATGTTCCTCGCGCTGCGACGTTATTTGACTTGCCATTATGACAAAAGTCTAGAAAATAAAACTTATTTATTATATCGCATCCTGAACCGACAGACTTGAACTAACATCTGCAACTTACTCCCTTTGGTATCGTGTATCCATGTAACGAAATTGTCGACGACAATAATCTTGTTAAATAAGGAAATGCTGGTCGCAACCTGTCGCAAAAAGTATTACATTACATTTCATAGTTCAGTGACACATTTAGATTTTCTAACGCCTGTTTTGTAGGCAATACAGATAAAATTGTAATTATTTTTTTAGACAAATTTACAACTATTTAACACTTTAAATAATGCAAACTAATGTACTGAAGTAGTTATCTTACTTTCATAATTTTCATTACCTAAGACTTTCCTTTATGCATGCTTTTAAATACGGCATATTTTCCAAACTTTCTTTTGTCGGAACGCATTCTGTGTTAGGTAGAACAGAGGTTATTTCATTATACAACCGCCTTTGTATTCTCGGATTTTTTGCTAGGAAATAAAGTAGGAACGCTTCGGAATTAACGACCTGAAATTTTAAGATAAAAACCATTTACTTCCTATCGTAGTTATGTGAAATTATTGCATTAATATTACAGCTTGAACGCCTAGAATTATCATGTCCATCAAGAGGATAGAAATGTCATTTGGATGGATACGCTGAAGCATCATTTTTTCGAGTAATGGTAAATTTCTCTCTTCATTTATAGATTTTTCTTGTTTTGACAGTGATGAAGTTTCCAGCTTATTCTGAGTTTGGCGAATATATTTTCCAATAACTCTGGAAAATGTAAGAAAGCAAATACCACTTGAGAAATTGGCAAATTATAATATTAAAACTAAAAAAAATTATGTTACCAATGTAATCAAGTAAATGGCTTTATCGAAGCAGCTAAATTTTGTTGGCTTACTCGTCGAGAATGTCGCAGGCTGCGTAAAGCTTTTTGACGAATGGAGTTTCGAAGAATCTCCACACCTGAAATCCAGTTTCGCAGCGACTCATATATGTGTGAGCCGTGATTAACGCATTAATAATTCTTGTGGCCTCAGGAGCCAATTTTGAGGTAGAATCAAGAAAACCAAAGTGTTTATTGAACATTGTCATGTAGAAAGATTCCATGCCCCACGAAGTGAGGTCTCGATGAAAATTTGCTGGTACCTATTGTTGAAATACTAATTAAAATACTATTTCTTAAATTGTTATGCGTATATAATAGCTATATATTTATTATAACAGTAAAATATTTATTCGTTTTGTTAAATTTCTGCTGTAATTTACTTATTGTAATTTTGTAAGATTCGAGTTTGCTATTGTATACATATGACATTGTCCGATTTTTAAACTTCATTTGTATAGAAGAAAGGATAGTTTAAATTTAAGACAAACAATACTATTGTGCAATATTAATTATTTACTATTCATTGACATACCTCATCTTGACGGTTACGTATATCACGAATTCTAGTAATTAATTCGTTACACACTGAATCCAATTTCTCAATATGATCGGAAATAGTTTCGTGCAACGGTTGATCAACTTTTTTCTTCACTTCCAACCATTCCAAATCTTGTCTGGCATTTCATGAAATTTATTATTAAATCATTTATCAAATTATCGCATTACTTGCAACGTCTTACGACGCAGACACGAAAACTAACGAGATTTGTTAAATGTATTTAAGAAAAACGAATGTATTCTGCAAAACAATTAGCATATAAACTCAAATGTCCTTTTTTTTGCAAATATAAGCTATATATTTTAAACCTTATGAAAGCTCTTATAGAGATTGAAATATGATTGAATACTCATAGATTTATTTGAAAACGCTGTAGGATATCAATTTATTGTACCTTCGTGCACAACTAAATTTATTATTTTACTTATTTAAATAGTAGTGTTAAATTCTTTTTACACTCAATCGCATTATATACTTACAGAGAAAATGCTCCGGCAGAACGATACTTGTGATGATTAAGACGGTAATGTTGAAGGATGTCAATGCCGCTGCGAATAGGTGACTCGCTTTCCCGATTGAAAACCTCGGCTATGTGTTCAGGCCTAGAATAATTGATTGGTGAATTGATTGTCCGGGAGAAACATGAAAGTTGATGAAAGCGATATCTCTTACCTGTGAATCATAATTATATCATTTACAAGTGGCCCGTTAATCCGCACGATGCATCCATATTCGTCAAACAAGTACTTAATTGGTGTGACATTGCGATTCCAGGATAATCGTCCTGCGATATAACATTTTAAATTATTCTTAATGGACATAATAACGAATTCGAAGATTCCCTCTATATAATTCTGTCACGTTCATTAACCCGTTTAACCGTTTCTTTTATTATTGATTATATCAATTAATATAAAAAGTATTTGTTACGTTAATTTTACTTCTTAGATATCGAAGATTATTCTATACTCATGCTATATTTTATTATATTGTTTTATTATACGTGTCATTTTTGTGTAATATTTTATAAAGGCATATTGTTTCGTGAAACTTTTAATCTATGCTACAGTAAATATATAAATGTGTAACTTAGATACATATGTATAAATTTTAGAAACTTTTTACACATTTTGTATATTTTATCCATTTTTTAAACATTAGGAAGCAATTTGCTCAAAATTCGAAAAACCAAAATTACATTACATTCTATGTATATTATTATACATCCATGCAAAGCGAAAAGTTTTGTTCTCGTGTCTTTGATTCGCTAAATCAATTTTAAAATGCAAAACTCTTCGAATTTCAAGCACAATTGTACTTCAAGGGATCGTACCCTGGGTAAGTCTGCTTATTAGCAGACTGCAAAACAGTTGCGTACCCAGGAGTGGCACGTATCTCCAATATTTTTCCCATAGTTTCAGGATCATCGGGCCAGGAATCTCCTCAAATGGTAATGGCGCTTTTTCTATACGAACACGTGATACAATTTTGAATGTAGGAATTTTAAAGCTCTCCGTAACAGTCTCAGAATTCGCCGTTTCCAATAACGGCAACGTTTTCGTTGATGTTACAGTTGCGTCACTATCGGTGTTCACCATCGGAATTGCATGCGATTGCTCCATAGAGGCGGCTAAGTTAGACAAATTTGAGATATGACATTAGTAGTTCTATTAGTATTGTAGTTCTACAGTAGTTCTATTAATGTTAAGACTATAACAAAATATCCTCCCTTCTTAAAATTTGCAGTGACTTAGTTGATTTATACGTCATATAATATAAATCTCGTGGCACTTATTAAACATGTGATTATTTGAATAATTAGTTGTCTTACATATTATGTCATTGGAATTGAGTGGCATGCATTTTCTTTCCTCGGCTAATGTCTCTGCCAGTTTTACCGTTGAGCAATAGAAACATTTTCTGTACGTTTGCAATGAAAGATCTCGAGCAACAAAAATGGATTGCATTAAGCAACGTATCATTATGCTTTGAAATTACGATATTGTTACAGCACAATTGAGACACAGCTTTACACTCTGTGTATAAAATAAAATATATATGTAACTTCGTTTTAGAAACAGATATGTGTTATTTAATGTATGTATGATGGATTAACATATGTAATATATTAATAAGAATTAAGATGATTGTTCGTACCTGCTAATAAATATAGTTTAGTAAGTCTAAAACGATCGCCAAATATCACCATATAATGGCGATTGAGTTACGTAAGTTTACACTGATGAGAAAGGAAACAACAAGATCGTTGCCATGGAAGCATATCGAAAAAGTAGAGAATTGCATTAGTGATAAATTCAGTTCAGTGAATGTATGTAATATTACTTAAAATTTTTAGATTTGATATTGGATACTAGAACATTTTTATTCTATATGAGTATAACGCTTTATTAATTACAATGAATAATATACTGTTAATAGTAAGCTATTAAACATGGCCACTTGATTACATCGTAAATTACTTTTATAACATTTATTATTCATTAAATTAGACATTTTAAATGCAGTACTTTTTCTTTTAAAAGATCGATACACATTATTGCACATATTATTATCCACATCGATACCATTTGTATTTATTATCTATTATATATTGTCGTTTCGTAGTAATTTCTTAATCTTTGATAAATATTTATGTGTAATTTTCTTTTAAAATAAAGTATTTGTATGCCTTATATGTGGAAATTTCATAAATCTACAAATCTAATCGATTTCTATATCCTCTTCGTCTTGCTGCAGCGCATCATTGGTGATGGATTTAACTAATTTTTGCGGGAAATCCTTCTGCGTGGAATCTGGACCGGCCAATGTAGCGCTTTCGCTCTCCTTTGTATGCCGCCACTTCATCCGACGATTTTGAAACCAAACCTTGACCTAAAGGTATAAGAGAGATCGTAACGAAAATTATTCTTTTTATTATTAATAGTATTTCTTCAAAGGCCTACAAAATAACAAATGTTGAAATATTTTTATTTAACAGGATGCAGAGATTGATACATCTAGATTGTATTTTATAAATCGTATAACCTGTGCGTCGGTTAAACCTAAAGTCGCTGCCAACTGTCGCCTGTCTGGTTTCGTGATGTATTTCTGTAGAGAGAATCTTCTTTCCAAACCTTTCCGTTGTAGAGAACTAAAGACGGCTCTAGACCACGACCTCTTCCTTCGTGTGTTTGTCTCTGAAGAGTTCACCGTCGAGGAAGATGAAATAAGTCCTGAAATGTGAACATTATCTCAATTTGTCTCTTAACTTTAGAATTTTATATTGTAACTTAAAAGCTTTAACAATGCATATAACTTAATTTTAAATTTGCATCGGATGCGCTTTCGATGATATTAAAAGTTTAAATGTAATAATTAATACTTGTTTAGAAATTTAAAACGTTTCTTTAAAATTCGGAGAGGATTTATTTTGAAAAGATTGAATGTATCTGCAAGGAAAAGAAATCGCGAATTTTTTAACAAATTAAATGGAGATAAAGAAGCATCATGCGAGATAAATGCTTTCTCTTAGCGCGATGGGGTCTCAGTTCTACATACATATCTTAGTATATCCGAAGAAATCCCGGAGATGGGATACTTCGGGCTGATTTACGATCGTACGAAAGTATACAACATCTGTACGTGTTTAAACATTGCGGTACTCCTACTCAAACCGAATCTTCGTACAAATTCGAAGATAACTTTAACATCATAGTTATTTTGGGGTTTCTGTGTTGATCTCTAGTCTAGTACATTTCTAATTTGTAGATTCTGCTACATTTAATTTTGGACCTTTCAAAGAGACATAACAATATAAACGGGAATTAATATAACAGTTTGTATGTTAATACTATGTAAAAATGTAAAAGAAAATGTAGTATAATAGAAGAAATTTTTAAATAATTATACCAAATTCGTAAAAACTCGAAAATTGATTTATATTACTGCATTATGTTTATAAGCTTATCAATTTGCTTTTATTTAAACAGAATTTGATAACTAGAGTATGAATGATTAGATTATATGTAGTATATAATTGCTAAAAAAACAGGTTTATTATAAGTACATGCACATTTCTTACAAATAGAGATAGAGAAAGGGGAGGGGAAGAGAGATAATAGTTTTAAAAGAAAGCAGAAAAGTATGGACGTTACCAGATTTCAACTAACCGAGAAAGTGTGTATCGAAACCTCTGTTTATGCCATGCATAAACGCTTGGTGGCACTTAAGATGTCGTTTAAACACAGACAGGAAACACGTGAATACACCGATACGTAAATATTTTGCTTTACTTGCTCCTGAATATCAGAAGGACAAGACAGTATGTCCATATGGTAACATTTGTCAATGATGTAACCTGCGATGCTCAGTAGAATTTTCTCAAGTGTTCTTACGGGATCCGTATACGGAAAAATTCTACTTGATAAGAAGTAGCGTTTGGTAAACTGAGCTTCTAAAATAGCTCGAACCATAAAGTTACACTTAACTAATTGCAGTTGGATTTATTTTTAATAGAATAAACAATTAAGTTGCAAATTTATACAATCCTAAACGTCGAAAATATCCGCGATAAGTGAGGGACGATTTTCAAATAAAGATTATTCTTTAAGATTATTTAAAAATGCGATAGTTCTAGGACACTGTGTAGTGGAAATTTTGTTAAATTTTCCCCAACACAAATTTTAAGTAAGTCGAGAAATATCAACGTCTCTTTTATTAAATATATTTTATTATGTGATTTATACCTCGTGGTACAGGCCGTAACGGTGCGGGCCGATATAAAGTTCCTAAACTCTCCATCAGTCCAGTATAAGATGTAGGTGTAATTCTTTCAGATAATGACGAGTGGGCATGTGGAAATGAAATGCAAGTTCTGATATTTTCACATCGTTCGCAACTTTCAATGCAGGGACAACGTATGGATGGAAGTTGTATTGGAAGTGGCTTAAGAATATCTATCAACGTATCAATTTTGGTAAATTAAAGCTGTCCTGAGATACGTAAGTAATAATATACACATATACATTAACACAATTGTAACAAGAGCTTTATTATTGTTATAAGAAAGAAAATTTAAAATCAAAATTATAACCCAAGAAAAATCTAAAAATGTATATACAATATATACATATTGTATTAAATAAATACATTTTACTAAAAGAAGATGGAATTTGAAGTGTAAGTGATTTGAAAAAATTTTTGCAACAAGTTACAAGTCAGTTGTAATTATTATATACATTTATTATATTAAAATTAGAGAGGTCTATGTAATCGCGTGTTACAAATTATTTTTATAGTAATTTTTTAACGTTATTAATTCTTACCTGTTTTCCTTGTGCAAATTTCATTCGATAATATACGATCCATGCCAAATTTCAATTGTCTAGAACAATCAGCGTTATCCATGATGAGAGTCATTAACGTCATTCATCGCCTTTCGAACGAACTCGTCAAACAGTATAAGGCTATCTGCGTTAATGACATTTGAAAATTCACATTTTCATTTTATCCACGTATCTGCTTGTGGAAAAAGTAAAGTTAAATAGAAAATTATTGTTAAAAGTAAAATAAAACACATTCTAATAATGTTCGTGTCAATTTATATCATTATTTCACTAGTCACTTTAATCACTTACTTTTATCTCTTTGTAACACTATTTTCACACGCACATAATTGTGTTAAGTAGGAGATCAATGGTAATGTAAGGAGTTCAAGAATAAGGTTTAATTTTTTTTATCACTTTCGCGGAAACTATTTGAGTGAGCCACAGAACAGCGTGAAAGTGAATGAGAACGAGACTCTGCCATGTTGAGAAATTTCTGGCTGAAAAAATCACCATCGCCAGTTGTGATGTAGCTGGATTAACTGGATTGGTCCACGAAAATACTGGTAGGCGGGACCACGAGAAGATTGGTCTGGCCAAGATGATGTGTCGGATGCTGCGGATATAAATGTCAAGCTAAAGTAATATTCCCCGCTTTGAAGACGAGGGGCTTTGAAAAGATGAAAAATCGTATATAATGATGGCAATGATAATAAGAATTAATCACCTTCAATATATGTTAAATCCTCAATAAAGTAAATAATAAGTCTTAGAATAGACGAATTCTGTATGTTTGTATATTATCCGGCTTTTGATTACTTTGATTTACCCTAGAACTTTGCATCTGGCTATTTTCAAATATAAATTATTTTAAATATTTTTCAATCGACATATCTTAATGTAAAATCTTCAAAAATTTAAAAATATGTAAGTTTAACATCATCTTTAGACATTCGTTTCTTTTTTTACTAATAGTAATACTATTATTAAATATGTCTGAGTTTTTCTTGATACAATTCTCTTAAAAATATCATTTAGTTTGGTTAATTGAGGCGAACGTTCAAAAATACGGATAAATTAAATGATTATAACAAAATGGTAGGTGCTATACATTGCGTCTTATAATCGCTACTTTCGGACATGTAATCAGAAACGGATTGGATTTCGAAGATCTTTGCGTACACGGAATTCGTATGTATCGATGGAACAATGGTACAGAGACGCATGTGTGGTCGATGATATCTTTGCGAGAGCCATATGGTTATCTTTACTTGTAGGTCTGCGGAGTAAACAGCCACTTAGATGTTTATTTGAAGAGCCATGTTTGAAGCTGCCTTTCTACCCACACGCCAAGAATATTCCTCGAGATATGTACACAGCACGGTCTTCTATTCGATTTTATTAGGTTTTAGGATTTTCAGGAGTCTGCAGATTCGCGTGATCGGCACTTCTCGAATGGAGTTAATCGCGATCGACAACATAATGTTAAATTACATTATCCTGTGGCTGAGGTAATACTTTTTACAATAAGAATTCTTTATGGTGACGGGGGGGAGAGGGAGAGAATTCTGTGCGAACATTGTGTACTATTTTTTAAACTTGGTAAACTGCGCGCCAATTGTTTGTGGGTCTCAGAATACAAATAATATTAAAAATAATATTTTATTGGTGTATTTGTAAAGATAATTTGTTCACATTTAGAATCTTGTTGTTGTATCCTTTTTTAAAACATTTATTTCAATTCATTGCAACTATATGTATATAAGATTACGTTAACTAAATATTTTCTTACTTATCAATATATTGATGAATAAATAATAAATCTCTAAATTCTAAAATGCAGAGCTTATACGATTCGCGATCAATTGTATAAGGCGTAACTTCTCGAAAGCATAATCATTCCTTCATAGAGTTTGTCTGTTTCAAAGTTGTTCTCCATCGGATCGAATATTAAAATATTTCGTTTGGGGCGGTATAGTTTCTGCAGGCTTTGCAGATTCTAGAAAAAAAATTGTTTCCTTAATCAAATTAATATATGTATTTCTCCAAAATCAACTTGTATTCTTATCGTGAATATCAAACGATTTCAAACAAGTATCAACAGTTTGTGTATACTAATAATCTTTTGAAAAAAGATCTCGTAATGGAAAAATAATGTAAAGACATTACTTCTCTATAAGTAGTTACACATTTAATCGAAGAAGTAACATAATAAAAATTCCTAATTAATCCGTGACAAATTGATTTTGCAGCTATAAAAACGAGCATTAAGTAACCCGAATAGATGATTTTTTAATATTGTTTAGTTTAAATGTAAGAAATTTAGTCACAATTTAGTCATAATTACCGAAAATACGAGAACATTTCCGTTTCCCTTGGGTGTGTTGCGACGAACTGCTGTAATTATGAGTGTAAGAAGATAACCACCGAATGCGAGAAAAGAGAGAGCAGTTACTGCCAGCTGAAAGATCTTTGCGATCTTCGTGTCCTTGCCTTTTTCATCATAGTGTTCTTCATGTCGTCTTATAGGCTTCTTTCTATTTTTCTTTGATGCCATCGGCAAAGCCATTGGCAGTGTCAATGGGAATGTTCTACTGGACATATTGATATCTTCATTTTCATTTTCGTTAGTAATATCTAGAAATAATGTAAAAATAGACAAATTTCGTTAGTAAATATCTATAAATAATGTAAAAATAGACAAAAGCTTTAATATTTTTTGGATAATTTTAATAACAAGTTGTCTAACGAAAGATATTTATAATGATTTGCATACCATTATCATTTGCGAGGAAAGATTTTATGTGAATCAGCTTATCCATTGGCAATTCGCTTAAACTGCGAATCTCATTCAGATACAAAGATGAATGATCTCCGGATGTCATTTTAAAGATGCAAAATGCACAAAATATTAACAAACCGCAGTACATAGCCGAATGTTCTAAAATTTTTTAATTATTAAGATATAAATATGTATTCGCACTTAGTTTTTACGATATTAACATATGTTATAATAACGTAAATGTTAGATTAACTTACTTTAAATAGCAGAAAAAGTAGACACTTAGTACTTTTAAATATTCTAACTTGAAGCAGTTAAAAATGAAATAATTTTGTAACACTTGCTTCAACTACGATGTGATGATGGTTATACGAATTTGGAATATTTCCAACACTTTTGTCACTCTCTAGGCAACTTTTTTACTGGCTTCTAACAGGAACGCGACTAAATGGTGCCGCGAAACGCGGATGCCGTTCTCTTGCGCTTGGTTGACGAAGCAAGAAGAGTGACAATCGCACCACAGGCGACTCAACGGGGACTTTGCCGCGGAGACGCAACGGAATAGAAATAAATGCATAATTAACGCAAAACATCCGTTATAAACTGTTTTACAAAGATCTCGTAGTAGGTAATAGTCTTAGTATTGTCCAACAGTTTGATTCGACGAAATGTCCAGCGTCTCGTGCTTTTTCTTTTGTGTCCTTTGGATAACTACATTTGACAAAGTGCAACTTACAAAAACTGAAGGCGAATTGATTTTTCTTCCTAAGAATTAAGTTTGCTATGAATCAAATGCTAGTGTCAAAATAAATCGTTGTAAAAGTAATTATATATTTTTCATTTTAGATGTTCTCGATAAGATAAAAGTAGGATTGCAGTATGCAAGTAATTATCTGGAGACGGCAAAAGATATTGCAGACTTGGTGTCTAACAGCTTAGGTCATAAACAAAAACAAAAACAAGAAGAAGATAGAAACGGTGAAAAACAACCGTTTGGCCCTTCAAACTTCGTTTCCGCTTTCTTTCGACTCATTGGGTTTGATTCACAAAAAATCGCAGCAATCGCAGTTAACAGTGTTGTATTTCTTGCACAGATGGTAAGTACACGTGTACACGGTGTATATTATAAATTATTTAAGTTATACGTGTACCAATGGCATTTCTTATGTACAATAAAATTTAGAAAATGTTACGATTATTCGTTTTTAATAGATAAGTACGCTTTTCGGACTGAAACCATTGCAAAATAATATTGCAAGAAGCACGCATGACGACAAACTGGCTTGGGATCCGTTAAAATTTACTTTGGAAAATAAACATGAACGTGTAAGTTGTTACAAAAATCAATTATATGTAAAAGAGAAAGATTTCAATTTCATGTAAATAACAAACGTAATAGACACATATGTAGGATTAAAATATGTACGTTTCGGTATTTCAATTATATGTATGTAATAAGTGAGACATATTTATAAAGCGTATAATTTTTTAATTATGTTTAATAGATTCGAAATTTAGTAGATCAAGCAAGAAATCCGAATCTACCTGATCAGTTGATAGCGAGAATAACCGGTTCTGATTCCGCGTGCATTCGATTGTTACTTTGCAAATCATCTCCGATCGTAAAAGCAATGCAAACTTCTCTCAATAATAAATCGCACGATTCTATGCATCGAATGATTGCATGGTTACCGTCTAAAGAGGAATTTGCAAGAAATAGTGACGAATGTGAGGAGAACCATACTGATTGTCGTTTATTTCTATAGTAATGAATGTTACCATCTCGCAAGGAAGCTAGGAAACGATTAAATGTTCCCATTAGGAATGTTAGAGATATATATTTTTGTTAAAGTCAGATAATAAATGTTCAACAATGTTTCGTTTTCAGATATAATTGAATTTCTTTTTTCTCTTTTGTATTACAGACTAAAGTGTTTCAAAGATTAACAATATTTTTACTCTTTACATGAATCAAAATATCTAACGTATCTAACGTAGAAGAGATATTAATAATTCGAGTATGCATGTAATTGTATATGCACGTACATGTGTAAATCTTTCTCTATATTGATTTCTATTATCATATTGCACAGACGATTCAAGCTGCTACATTGGCACAACATCGTGTATAAAATACGTGACAATAATTGCACAATAGAAATAGAAATAATACTTTTAAGATAAATCAAATAAATTATCACAATGTGTGTACTATTTAATGCTAATACTGCATTTGGATAAATAAACTAATATTTTTGTAACGTAATAAGGATAATACTATATACATGTAAAGAATCTCTACACTTTGGAATCTAGAATTTTATTATCTGTATTTTTAATTATAATTAACCCTCGAACTTATATAAGTGCAATAAAATATATAATATAATTCGTCTCTCCTCCTTCCTCTTACTCTTTTTCATTCATACAGATTGATTTTTTAATTTACTACCGTGTCGATACAGTTATATAAATTATTCTGTATTAGTAAATTACTGATGTATATGCATAGTGATGATTATGTCACTCTTAATTTTACGTTTATATAACAATAATAACAAAAACATAAAAATTGAACGAAACACTATGTACATATAAATATAATTGTGTATTTTATATAGATTGTCTATTTATATTGCTCATTTTATGCGTGTTAATATTAAAAATTCTCATCACGAGTTATCATTAATGACTGTCTTCGTTAATGTGTGGCACAAAAGTAAATTACAAAAATTTGTTATATTATTTCGTGTGATATCTTGCATTTGAAATATGCACATCCCCTTACATACATCCATCGTAATTTATTTCTAATTTGAAAAACGTTATTTTTTATGACTTAAAACGCTATACTATTTATAAGAGGAGTATTTACGAACGATTGTTTAATATAAATAAAATGATATTTTGTCTATATATATATATATATATATATATATATAGAGATTTATAGGTTCCAAGTTTTAATATGTAGAGAAATTATATAAAGCATAATTATTTAAACAACTAGACATTACATCTACATTCCAAAGTGTGCAATCTTGTTAATTAATTCATGTTATATGTCTAATATGAGATCATGATATTGTGTGACACAATTTATAAATGTCATCTATTTATATGTTATCGCCTTTTTCTAAAAGTTGAGTATAGACAATATATTAGAATGGCCGTTGTTAAAAATTTGATCGACCAACAAATATTTGGCATATATTCAACTTATTTGATAAATAGTCAGCGACCTATGTAATACGCTTATAATTGTCTAATTAAGAAAAGTTTTGGCATTTGACAAATGGCTGGTTAAGTACGGAGATATTTTCCCAAGATCGTACGCAATCTTGCTGAAAACGTTTTGCAAATAATAATAATATAAATATTTCTCTTTTGCAAAGTATACAGCATAATATTGAAAATTTGATTTAGCTATAGTAGATACAAATTATAGAAATTTGCAAAGTATTTTACAAAGTATTATCATGGAGTATATACGTTTTTGATTCAAGTTTCATATAATCACAATTAGTGGTTAGAATATCGCATGTTACTATGGCATACCACACATTTTGTAACGCATTTAAGAGTTTTATACTAATATATATATATATATGTATAATTATGTAAGAGTTACATTTTATATATTACAACATGTTACATACTAATTGAAAAATCGATCCCGAAAATATACAGAGAATCAACAGACTATAAAAAAAACGAGCCGCTCGTTATAATATGCGTCGTACAGCACCAACAGCGTCAAAATCTCAATATCGAAATATTTATTTACAAAAGAGACTGCCAGATCTCATTCATAAGTATGCATATACAGGGTGGGCCA